GCATTAAGTAAGATCATGTTCATCAATTAGTGCTTAATTCTAATTTTAATAATTCAAGTAGTGACATATTGCTTTTTCCATTTTGCCTAAAATAGAAAAAAAAATCATTCTCTTAGATATCTTCCATTCAAACAAATTCACATCCTGCCTTTACAGCCCTCTCACGTTCCCTGAGGAAATCTGTTTCAACTGTTTTCTTTTTTCCTGTCTTCCAGAGACAGCTTTTTATAAACATTTTAGTAACTTTTGTTTATCTGGCCATTGCCATTAAACATCATATATTAATTGATGCTGGGTATCACAGACTATGTTAAGGACTCTAGAATCAAACCTGAATCTTTAAGAGGATTGGCAAGCAGTAAATACCAACACTCAAACATTTTAGAATGTTCAAGTCCATCTTTAGTTTTAATTACATAAAGAATTCAGATTTAATGCTGAAAGAGCATTTATATTGCTGAATTTATTTCCCCCAAGGGTGTATGAGAGATCTCACATTCAGATTCAAATACATAAGGAGAAAATTCTAGGTGTCAAGATGTGTCAAAACAGACACAGAACACCAGCTTGTTACTAAATTTATCTATTCTCTTCTGTTTCATCAGCTGAAAAAATTCTTGCTGTGAATGTGAGGAAACACCAGAGCAACCTGTACTTTCTTCTGGCTGCTGCCATCAGAAACAGGCTGATTTCCCTGTTCCCAGAGTCCTTCTGCACTGCTGTTACAAATGGTCTGTGTGAAGCACAAGGAACAGGATGAGTGCTTTCTGTATTGAGGAATAAGCTCAAAAAGTTGCAAGTGGAGACATACAGCTCCTTAAACCCCCCATTTGGACAGAACTGAGAGCACAGTCAGTGTGAAAGCACTGTAGTCCAAGATGGAAAGAGCAGTTCAAGTGGACACTCAAGTGGAGATGTACATTGGCTGTTAAGATTTTCCAGCTCCATATGGATGCAAAGAAAGGCTGCTCCCATCTAGCAGACAGACAGTGTATCTAAATGCTCAGCTTAATTTCTGCCCATGACTTCCTTCTAGGTATTTTCCAAAGGTGCCATAAAACTCTGCTGAGCTTGTACTAGAATAAAATCTACACTATGATAACTTATACCTGCTGGTTATGTACTAGAAAAACCTGACAAATGCAGATTAAAGTCCTAACTCCACACTGCTCTCAGTTCCAGTGCTACCACCTCACAAGAAGATTGAATAAAATATAAGATCAAGATGAGCTTTACAAATGTTTCCGTATCAAAATGTTTCTAAGAAAAGGCGCAGCACAACTGTCACCAGCAGATGCCTCTAATTTTGAACAAACAGAAGGAAGACTCACTGGCAATCTCCAACATCTCTGCAAATGGCTACCAAGCCTCTAATTCCATGTCCTGCTCCCAAGATCATGTTCCAAGACATTTACAGGCGGCAGAAGAAAGAAATCACTTTGCAGTGCAACACTTACAGCGATTGTCCTGGATTCTCAACAGGGCCATTTTAGCTGGTTCCAGGCCACAGCAAGCAATAGAGAACCATCCCAATGTACTGGAGCAGAACGAGTGACAGAATGAAATTAGTGCCAAGAACATCTGGGACACTGCATGGTGCTGGAATCTGTTGTGCAGGTTCTACAAGAGCTTTTGGCTAAAGCTTTACCTCCTGTTCTGCTGCCTATCTAGTCATTATTGTGAAAAACAGAAGGGACAAGGAATAAAGACAGCCAGGAACTGCAAGGACTGCAAGGAACTTGTAGATAATTAGACAGCTAACATTCATACCAGGCTAAGGTTGTAGGAAAAGTAAATGGCAGACAGGCATTCTGCTCAGCTTACTCACACAAGCAGGGCTGGCCTGCCAACAGGTACATGCTAGGTGATGACTGGTGTTGATTAAAAGTGTAAACTTGCAAATTGGAACAGAAGTTTGACTCACTTTGCATCTTGTATTTCCTGTTGTGTTTGTGCAAGGCACTAGAGAATCAGGCACATTGTTTTGTGTGGAAACCCTTTTATGACTAAGATGATCTTAGTTTTAATGTTCAATAGCTTCATAGAGGAGCAGTTGGAGCACAGTCAGTATTAAAAATTGCCATTAAAATTTCCCACTTCTAAAATTATCTCATTTTCCAGATCTTTTGGGGAATGGGGTGAATGGGGAATTGGGAAATAGCTTTGTTTTAACAACAAAATATTTTTCTTTTCCTAAAGAAAAATATTTGGGATGAGTATGGTTGATCTCCATTCTGATACTGATGCTGGCAATTTCTGTTACCAACGTCAGTAATATTAACAATAAAACAGATCCTTAAATTTTTATATCAAGTTCTGGTTCTTGACACAGATGAACCCCCATCCAACTCCCTGTAGCACACAGACACTGCATGATGTGTTCAAGACATTCCTTCTGACTTCTCTGGAGGGTCAGAGACAATGCCCTACCTCCCACAGAGAAACCAAAAACTGCAACTGTCATCACATGTAGTGATGACAATAAATGACCACAGCACTCAGGCTAGCTCCTCCTCAGGAGAACAAAGAAATCTGACTGGTTTGGACTGGTCAGTGCAGAAGTGTGAGATAAATCAGGTGTTAGGAGGACAGTGACACAGCCCAAAGCAACACAGAAGCAAGAGACTGAAAAACGGAAGCGATTACTCCAGATTCTGATCAGTACTGCCAGCAGAAGGGAGGCTTAGCTGACATTTCTGTTCCTGCTGGCTGTGTGAGGATCACAAAGGGGATCTGAGCAGGCACTGAGCTGCTCGTGCAACTCGAGTTAACTGGAGCTCAGAGCACAAAGTGACTGCAGAACATTCTCTGCACGGACAGGCTGTCACCGGCCTGGCCTCACACACAGAACCTCGACAGGTGCCTGCTTAGGAATCAAAATGCCACAGTCAGAACATCCAAAATTGATTTAATATAAACCACTGATTAAAGGTTGAGTAAAAATACTGGTAATTTAGCTTTGTCCTGCAGGATTTATCTATATTTCTGACTCGTTAACATCAACTTTCTCGCCAACTTTGATGGTTTGTGGCTTTAGTCCTTTATGTAATCCATATTCAGTTTGTACCAGAGGGCAATCTGGTCTGGCAACAAAACCATTCTTCTGTGCAGAAATTTATAAAGAATAATCTTATTACAATAATTCCTAAAGTGCCCTCGGGAAAGCTGCTCACAATGCCATGACATTATAGAAACAACATACAATCTGATACATTATTTTCAAAAAAATCCTCCAAAGCAAAAAGGAGGTGAACAACAAGTATATAGGCAAATACTGTTAGTCCAACAACAGTCGAATTATGGAACACTTTATAGTCTTGGAGTGCCTTTAAAATGGGAGGCAGGGAACAAATTGGCAGGAATATCTTGGGAAAGTCACAAATTTTTTATGTTTTATCAAAGTAAGTACACCATCAGCAAACCCAGTGTTTGAAGATGAAATGTCTGTGAATTACCATGAGGTATTTAACCATGGAAATTGAAAAAAGACAACATGTAAAGAAAATCCATGTTTTACTAAGAGGAAAGAAGATAATACAGTGTCTATGTATATCCATTGACCCTTAGTGTCTTTTTTTTCTATTTGTAAAGAAAACAATCTTTCTCTTCCCTGTTAATTCCAGATTTTATATACACATATAAAACTATAAAATATATATAGTTTTACATGTATATACACACACACATACAAAAATACTCATACACACTCACATGTGTATATATCTCAGGGTCTTACTGGATTTCAGAGTCTGTTTTTCTTTTTTTTTTTGTGACTTAGAGAACACAATTGGGTAAAAAATCAAGTAATTGCATGCATGCAAGCGTATCTTGCCACTTGTGCATGTAAATTACACAATTTGTAAATAACTGCAGAAATAGCATGCTCAAATTAGGCACCTGATTGCCCAATTAACTTGTTCCCAGAAAATCAGATGATAACCTTCAGTAGCTCCTATTATAGATTCTTCTTTTCACTGCTACCCTATGGAATCCACAGTGTATATTCCAAACAACTGCATTGTTATTTTGTGCTTTTACAAAGACACAAGCAGCCCTGCACACTTAATAAAGCTATCAAGTGAACTTTGGACCAGATTTTAGAAAGTTGTTTAGATACTTAAAAGCCTTCTTATGAGAATGAGCCAGCTTAGACAATTAAAAAAATTTTTTTGGTCTAATTTCAATTGGTTCAAATGTTATGAAAAAAAAAACACCCAGTCATTTGTGGCCCTTCAGTCTCTATTAACAGGCAAAGTTTTGCTTCTGTGTCTTTAATTTTTTTAAGGTGTATAAGTATTATTTCGCCATATACATTCACTTCCTAGTAAATCCTTCCTTTATTTTGCATTTTGAAATAATCATTAATTAACAGTAATTTGATACAAGTGGACACAGAACACCAGGCTGCTGCACTCCAGTGTATACTTCCTAATGGACAGAGAAACTGAAATACCCAAATCAATCCAAGTATTGCAAACACAGAAACTCATTAATTCATCTATCAAAATGAGTTAAGAAATGGTCTTTTACCACAAATATGCTGCTCCTTTGCTGTTGTACTTCTTTTTCTGAGATGATGTGGCAGAAAGAGGGTATTTTCTTTTCTCTACCAATTTTTTGCATCAAATAAATCTTAGTAACTTTAAAAGAAAAAGCTGAACAAACCATTATCTTAACAACAATCTTTGAAATAAGAGAAAAGGAAGCAAAAGCAGAACTGCTGGGCTGGATTGTTTCCCTGAATAAGGTATTACATATAATCCTAGTGGCTGCATTTACCAGTTCTTCACAGGCCTCCTGCAGCAACAGCTGTGCTGGTCCAACTGTTCACCCCCCCTCAGAAAGGGGAGAGTAATAAGAAAAGCTACTGGAGCCCCCTTATATCCTTGTGGGTTTCAATCAAGCATCACCGCATTTCTTCCCTCAGACTTCTTGTGACAGTATCTGCTGGTGACTTGCCATTGCTGCTTTTCTTCCTCTAGAGGATCAAAATCCAATTTGGTACTTAAATTACTTTGTTCCACTCCACTGGTCTGTACCTCTTTTAAAAAACTTCCAGGAGTGCTGCTTGTCCTTCTTGCAAAATCAGCTTTGCTTTTCTCCTATAAACAATCAAATGAAAATCCCAACTCTTCCCCACATGCCCTTTTCAAAAATATAATCATGATCATTTGTATCAGGGGAATTATTTAGCAGTCTCCAGTCTTAGTACAGCTTTTGTTGAGAAAACTGTAGCTTATATGACTCTGAAGTGTTTATTAGAAAGCTTTCAAAGAGATCTTCGTTTCAGGAAAAGAAAAATTGTTCAGTTTAGCAAATACAGATGTTCACAGCAGAAAGACTGAAATGGTTAAAAATGATCCTAGGGAGCAAGCAGCTCACAGAGTTAGCAAAATAATTAACATTTTCCTTTCTTTTACAGAAGAACACTAATAGCTGCTCTGGTTTCCACACTTGCTGAGACAGATTTTGTTGTGTGGTCTTGGTTTTGCTTTTTTTTTTTTTTGCTCTATTGCTCCACACAGGTTTTAATTAGTGCTTCTCCTTGGCTACAAGTGCTTCATTTTGAAATACAAAGCTCTTAAAAAAAACCAAAAAAAACCCCCAAAACAAACAAACAAAAAAACCACCCCAAAAAACCAAAACCCCCAACATCACTGGAGGGGAAAATGGGAAGCGATACAGCGCAGCTGCAGCAATCTGCTTCTGCTGTTGTTTTCCCCCTCCCCAAATCCTCTGCATAATTTCAATGGTTAGTCGATGAACCTTTGGCAGGCCTTCTTCCATCGGCAGGCAGTGCACCACATATCTCTGTTCTCCATCCCATAGACCTTCCGACACTTTTTCCCCTCCCCTCTAGGCTTCCTGTCAGAGAGAAAGGGAAGCTTGTTAACCAGATGCTTTTATAGTTTTGCTTTTCACCCTAAGACCAGGACAACAAACTCAGTGGACTGCAGGAGGTAGAGAACCCATGGCTTTTCATGGGGTTTGGGCTGGTTTCATTCCAGCTGGGAGCTGAGGAAGTGACAGACACATGCATGGCTGGGACTTCATCACTCTCAGGGACCAGGCCTTCTCCTTGCCTGGCTTCCACAGCTTCTGTAGCAGCTGCTGAGCCCACTCCTCTGCTCCTGGGATGATCCCAGGAACATACTGCCCTGACTTTAGCCAGCAACTACACCTGGACTTAATGAATTATACTTTAGCCACATGAAGTGCCAAGCTGTAATGGGCAGCCATAGCTGTTCCACAATACAGGCCAGGCCATGTCAGGCTGAAGTGCTGCAGAGCTGTGGTAAAATATTTGGAATAGCTCAGAGCAGCAGACCTTGACCACCAAGAAGTATCAGCTATGCCAAAGCAGAGAAAAGCTACCAGCTCCTAACCTTGCTGGTCCTTCCTGCAGTTTGCTCTGAGCTCATTGACTGAAAAACAACAGAGTGAGTGGGAAGTTTTAACCCTTGCTCTCACTTGCAGCACATTCTTGTGTGCACCTCCTCTGTGGTCCCCAAAGCCAGCAAGCTGGGCAGCACCTGCTTTTAAAGTTGTAACACTTGTCCTGTTTTCCATCTTACAACCACACTCAAAAGATCACAAGTTTAGAAAATGACCCAAGTAACTGTTAAAATGGATTTTTTAATTCAACACACAGCAAGGCAGCAAACCTGAGGAGCAATGCTTCACCAAGCAATCCAATGTTCACTACTGCAATGCCACCTGTCCCAGAATCTTTAAATAAAGTAACTGTACCAACAGAACTGTTTAATACCTGATTTTATGTTGCATGGCACACATGGGATTCCTTTCTTGCATGCCACATATTTTCTGATTACTGAACATGAATTAATGGGCACAATCCATGATTTGGGAAGATCCCAAGTTTGGTTTGTAGCATATGCAATGATCTGAGAGTCATGAAGAAAATGAAAAGCATGAAATCTTCTTTTTGCCTCATTTTAGGGTACAGTCACCTTTAGGACTGTGAGAAATAAGGAGTTTCTTTACTGTAAGAAATTTAGCATTACAGTCTGATTTTTTAACCTTTTTGAAGACTTTAAAAGTAGATTCTGGTCCAATATCAGTTAAATTTAGTAGTAATGAATGCAGCTTATGTCTAGGAAGACAAGGCATAAAATGCTTTGCCCTAATCTAATTTATTGTAAGACAGGGCTTCTTATAGTTCAATTGAAGCCAAATGCCATTCTGACTGAATGCAGATAAACATGTGAGATAGTCCAACCTTTCAGGGAAAAGTGCAAAACCAGACAGTGCAGCTGAACTTTACCTTTGATGGTAGTGAAAAGAAAAATAGGTTCTGAACACTTTCTTTGAAGAGCTCTAGCAAGAACCTGCCTGACAAGTGCAACCAGGGTTGGTGGTGGGCTTTTTCTGATCCTCTGGCCACTGACAACTTATTTACAGAACACCCTGCAGGTTGTGAGGCTGTAGTGTCAGCAGGAGCTAATGGTCCCATACCTCAAGCCAAATGCTACTCGAGGCGGTGATGAAAGAACCGTGTGGGTCTGTTTCTGCTCTCCACTCCCTGCAGCACGATTATGGGTTGGTGAGACCTGTCAATACAGACAAAAAAGCTGCTTACAAACAACACACACATATGAATGCAGTATAAATACTTTTTCTAAGAAAATGCAAATTATGCTGCATGGTGGCAAGGATACCCAGGAAAGGTGACTATATAACATACAAACATAATTAAGTGAAAAATTAATTTAGCATTAGGTACATGCTTAGAAACAAGCATTCTCCTTGTTTCTCTGTATTTCTAGTCATCCTTCTAGAGCAATCCAAAATACAGATCAGCATTACTGAAGGTTTTGAAAAAGACAAGAAATACATCCATTCTTATTTAAAAACTCTGAATAGCTCTTACGAAAACTTTCTCCAATAAGCAAAGAAAATAATTGGAAAAATAAACTCTGTCCAGTGCTGAGATCAATACCAAAAATCTCCTATGAAATAAAGGGATTTCACTTGTTGCACCTGCCTGTCACTTGGCACTCTTTGTGGAGAGACACCCTTGGAGAAGAGAGCTTGTTGAAGAGCACTTCCAGCGGGGCCCCTCGAGGTTTAACAGGCAGGGAGCACAATGCAGCCCTTCTGATCAAAGTTGCTAACAATATGTATCTCCTTACCCCACACAGTAAAACCTTCTCAGCATGTGAATGTTTCCAAGGGAAGGGTGGAGTTTGGTCTTCTGAGACTTTCCAAAGAAGTCTCCTACATGAGCATGGGGCTTGACAACATCACTCAAGTGATCACACGGCATAAAGCTTGGCCTTAAATGATACCTACATTATTTTACTATGGTCTTATTTTGCTCCTGTGTGAAGGCCACAACCACTTTACATCTAAAATACCAGAAGAAAATTCTGAACACTCGTTTTTTTGTTGTATATTGAATGTAGCATCTAGTGCACAGTCAGCCTCCTGCTGCCAGGAACTGCAGATGTGATCATAGTTCTCTGCACTGCTATGACTTTTCCCTCCTGCCCTTTTCAAGTTTTACAATATCTGGAAGAGAGGGAACTGACTGACCTCACTTGAAGAGAATTACTGTATGTGCTTTGATTTTTGATACAAAGTCTATTTTAAAGCTACTACTGATTTATGGTAGCAAAAAACTAATGCTTGTCATTGAGTGCAGACACTCGTTTCAACTTTTACTCTTGGCAAGTAGCAGGAGAAATTTTTGATTTAAGTGCGTATGTGGCTCACACTCTGAACAAACTCAGACCATTACTGATATACAAAATATACCTGCAAAACTTGAAAGAAATCTCTTCTCTCTCTGCCAGCTCACCATGTTTTGTACATCCAAATCCCACATTAGCTCCTTTTGTTCTATCCCTCCAGAATACTAAGGGCAGCTTGTTCCCTGCTACTTTTTTCCAAATTTTTATCAACCACTTTCCTTGTTTCATCTAAGAATGTATTAGCTGCTTGTCATTGAAAAGAAGAGTACTTGGATGTCCTCCTATGTTATAAGCAATTATCTTGCTACTTCCAAACAGAGATCAGGCTGGAGCAGTAATTACAGCATGCAGACTCCTCCCTTGCATTCTCCTGAGAGGGTCTCTGCACAATGGTTCCACAGACTGGCACACCAAGGCAGCTACACAGCACTGAAGCTGAGCTGCAGTGTATTCTGATAGGCTTTGCAACAGGTCTAACCAATACCAGTCATATGCTCTCTACATGAACACTGAGAGCAGATTAAGAACAAGCCCTGAGAAGGCAATCCTTGCCCTTGGAGGCTTTTCATGTCTGAAGCACTGTCGAATGCAGAGTGAAATAACGCTGTTTGTTTGAAGCAAGGACCTGGAGTTTCCAGTTACAACTCCTGGGGGGGAAATTGTGGTTTGAGAGAAGATTTGTGACCTGTAAACATCAGATGATCAAAGATCTTGCCTGTTCAACCTTTTTGGGTCTTACAGCAGGCAGATGTAACTAAGTATCAGATGGTGGAGATCATACTGACATTCAGGAAGACTTTTACCACACACTACCTAGAAGTGGAAGTACATGGTCATTATTTTAAGTCCTCCAGTACCAAGACATATGGACTTCACCATGGCACATCCCATTTGCATCATTTAATTCTCTCTCCTCACACATCCCTAGGGTGTGGCTGATTAAGTCTCCTAATTCAGCCTCCATTGGTAGAAAAATCAGTCTGTCCTTTCTGCTTCATGCAAAGAACAGTACCTCACAGTAACTCATAACTGTTCCAACATTCAACCTTTCATCTGCAAAGTTTTCTTAGAAAAATGCTATGAAAAAGTGTATTTCCCATCTGCCTTGGAATCTAACCTGTGCATGATTCAGAGCACAAACAGCTTTGGAGGTTCCCCTAATTACAGAACCACAGAATGACCTGAGTTGGAAAGGACCCACAAGGATCACTGAGTCCAACTCCTGGCCCTGCACAGAACATCCCCAAGAGTCACACATGACACCGTGACCAGTACCTGACAGCACCGTCCAAACACTTCTTGAATTCTGCCAGCTGCTGCTGTGACCACTTCCCTGGGGAGCCTGTTCAGTGCCCAAACCGGGGGAAGAATCTTCTGCTAATACCCAACCTAAACCTCCTCTGACACAACCTCAGGCCATTCCCTCAGGTGCTGCCCCTGGTCCCCACAGAGTAGAGATCAGTACCTGGCCCTCCTCTTCCCCTCACAAGGAAGTTGCAGATTGCAATGAGGTCTCCCCTCAGTCTCCTCTTCTCCAGGATGAACAGACCAAGTGACCTTGGCCATTTCTCCTCCCTTATTACTACAAGATGTCTAAATAAATGCCTGTGTTTAGATGTTGTGAACACTCCTGAGCCTAGAGCAGCCACATACTGAGCCCAACTGATCCAGCAGCAGGTATGGGTTGCTTTGAAGTGCTCAGTTACTTGCTGATAAGTACGCCCATATTCACAAAGGCCTTTCAGTGCTGCTCTGCTAAAGACTTTCTGAAAATAAGGACTTAATGCAACTCCTGGTGTTTGAACACCCTACTTCCCAGGACAGAAAGCAGGAAGTGCTCAATGTCATTGAAATTCACTGTCCACAAGAATGAAAGAGGGAAACAATATGCGTCAAAAAATAAATGTGAAAGGAGACTATATTGAAAATATGTAGATCTATGCACTTTTTCAAATCTGTACCTAACCTTTTCCTATTCAGTAGTTTGTCCAGGCTAGAAGAGTATTCCAAAGCCATTTTAGAAAACTGCTTCCTTAAATATTAAGGGTCAGACAAAAAGTAATGGTTTGGACTCACTCTCTGAGGTTCCCTTGGGTACTACAAATTTGTGTCTCATCTCAGGGACTGTGTATGTCACAATTGTGTGAGTTTGTTATGCTGGCTCTGTCATATAGTCTGGCCTTAAATAAACCCCATCAGAGAAAGTCTGAATGTAGGTGAAGTACCTACACTCAGTGTAAAGGTGGGAACTGTCAGACCCCTGATTTTGTAAAGCAATATCCAATTGACTTTGAAACAGAAATAAAACTTTAATTTAAATACAAGTATTTAACATAAATTTGCACTTGTACCATCACTTACTGCACATAATTTTTCACTGCAGGTAAGCCTTTGTAATTCATAAATGATCACACTGATGACAAAGGAATCAAATGTGTGCAAACCTGGAAGATTTTTTTCTTATTATTATGGTTTTTTCTTTGTTAAACAGCCTTATAAATGTTGTTAGAGCTATAATGGCAGTTCTAACAGTTCCCTGAGCAGTTCATAATTCTGCATCACTGCTTCCCCAGGCTTTTGTATTGGGATTACTTTCAAATTGTACTTAAATCATTGCCATCTCCACCAAATTCTCAGAAAGTGATTTAGCATTTCTTAAATTCTATTGAGAACTCTCCACTCTACAGCCACAGATCAGCGCTGTTGCCTGAACAAGTAAACTCAACGTGTATGTGTCTAATCCTGCCCTATTAAGTGTCTGATTTACAATGTGACTAATTGCATTTTTAGATTCCCAACACTCCTGGCACCAGTTTCTGCTACTTCACAAAAGGAGCCAGTTTCATAATTACTCCGTATCAACCCCATTGTTGGGAAATCAAATTCTCAGGGAACTCTGCGGATAGCACACTCTGTCAAGGCACTCTTGTTGAAATTGCTGCCAGCATGATGTCTTTCACTGTTAGTTGTTCCTTGATGGAATTTAATAAATATTCATTGGCAGAGTGCAGTGTAATTGATTCAGTCACTTTCATTTTTATCAGCTCTGCAGGATGCCACAGCTTCTGCAGAAAATCTCCAAGATTTGCCAAAGGTTGACAGTAAGAAGCTTTGGAGATTCACTTGGTGAAGAGAAGGGAGGGAAACAGTATCTCTTATCGCCTTGTCTAATACTCACTGTCAGGAGAAAAAAAGCTATATGATTCTTTGGATGAGCAATGTGCCTTATATAACACACTTTAAAAATTCATAAATTCATAAAGTGTGATATCAAATGAGATGTTATGATATCAATAAAGGTTTATGATTAGAGAATATCAATTTATCACGAAAACAGTGCTTTCCAATAAATGAAGATATTTTACATTAATATTTATTTCTATTAATCATAGAGAAGATTTCCCATTACTCATAAAGAGTGATTTGCAATTACTTTCAGCAGTCCCCACACCAGACACTACAAGCTGAATCCCTTGCAACTCTTCATGAAGGTTTTTCACTCTCCCCCCAGTACCACACCTACACACTGTGGTGTACTACATGTTTAGAATCATTGCAACTCTGTGTTTAAGCAAATATCACATTTCTGCAGTCCTGTTGATGCCTTGGGATTTTAGCATGACTGTTCACAGAATTAGGCCTTGTATGCCAGTTGTTTTGAAGAAAGGGTCACTGTTGAATTTCCATCTAATACATCCTCATTAAAAAGCTATCAAACTGCAATAAGTATTAATAACAAAATGCAATAGATACATGTTTTCTGTATAAAACAACATTTTCCTGCTATTATTAGGGGCTACATACTTGCAGCCTCCTAAAACAGGACTTTGCATTTCATTTTATTGTTTCTTTCAGCTGCCTTTCAAAAATGCTTCACCTTCAAAGTCCATTTAGGTAACAGCCCCACTGCCTGAATCCAACTGGCCTGTCAGCAGAACCATCACCAGGCTGATTTTCTGTATAGTTTTTTAAGAAATCTCTTAATGGCACAAAAATGAAGGACATAGTGCCAAGCTCTGCACCTACCAGAATGTTCTTTTGTAAGCATATAGTTAAAAAAATATATGTACTATAGATTCAATTGCCTGCTTGTAGATACTGATGCAAAAATAAGCTAACTGCACTGATAAAGAGAGTTACAAAGGCGTTAAAAACAGCCATGCTGGCAAATTCAGGCATATGTTTAATTTGTTTCCTTTTGGTATCTGCTGTGTCACATTTAATTCCATAATTACACAGTGTGAAACAAAGCAAAAAGATCCAAAACCCCTTTTTTCTCCCCTTCTTTCCTTTTTGGTGTGCACTTACTGGAATGCCGGTGAAGGTAACGGGAGGCGACTGCCAAGAGATGCTAAAGCTACTGCCATTGGGAGTGAATTTGGCTGAGCCTGGAATGTTCACCGGAGGAGTGGCCTGTGTGAAAAGAAAGTATTATTCCAGCAAGAAGAACCATTCCTCTTCCAAAGGATCTTTCATTCCTTGAAATGGTAAATATGTGAGAGATTTTCCAAGGCATAAAAAAACTCCATGGTGACGAGCATTTTACCCTTGTGAGAGGGATAATCATGGATAAGCTAGTAAGGAAGGGACAGAGCTATATATATACACCACTGTTCCTGAACCATGTTTAGAGAAAGATGATTGCTCTCAAAAGAATCCATGGAAAACTTTCAAGAGCTAGATCTGCTAAAAAAACAGACAAAATCACATGTCACATACAAGTAACTTTTAAAATAATGCCAGCAATAAGCAAAAACTACTGCACAGATGACCACTTGTTCCACAGTGATAAACAAGGCCATACTTAAACTCATGGCAGTTGTTTTACACAATTTTAGTGTGGACAGCAAGGCTTCTTGGATGGAAGCAATTAACAGTAAGTGTTGGCCATTTCTTATTTATCAGAAAAATGTTTAGAGTCATCCCAATTAAAACAGTTTTTCCTATTAAGAACAAGGAGCTGTAAATCATCCTTTGGATTCAAAAAACAGCTCTTGAAATACTAAACTGAATCAAGTATTTGGGCTCATTGAACTCCTATGTTTTTCCCATCTGGGCTGTAATACCTAGAGCTGCCCTGGGGTACAAGCGTGATAACATGAGCTTAGACTGTTGAGCATTTTTCATTTTATGTCTTTCCTTTGGTTTTTTCACTGGGTTATGAATTTCCATGAATTCTTCCCTGTCTCTTTTTTAATCCCATTTAATTTTCAGAATCATGAAATTCATAGTTGTGTAGCTACCCTGCCTAGCGGGAGCATGAGCAGCCAGCATGAACAAAAGCTCACTTTGACCCTTGAATTTCAAGCTGTCAAAACAAAAAAGAACCCTCCTTGGTTTAAACTTACAAAGAATTTGCTAAAATGAGTTTTCACTTCTGCCTTTCAGTTGTTGGTACGTGACAATAACACAATACACTCATTTAAGCAGTGTTTGTGTCTGGGGCTGCTGAAATTGTCTCACTGGTTCAGGAAGAGAATGTTTCCTTGAGCCACCAGGCAGAGAGGAGTGATGAAAAACTACAACCTGATAGTTCCCATTAAAGATAATCTTACAAGTAGACAAGGGCTGAAGCAATCCCCTACAGCCTTTCCAGGAAAAGGAAGGTGAGGCCACCGCATGCCTCTGTGTGTGACAGCGATGCTCTGTGGGCTGCCAAGCTGCTGACAGCTCCAAGAAAATCCACACAGACATGCAGAGCAAACATCCACTGAGCTCCATAAAATATAAAAACCTCTCTGAAAGGTGTCAAAAACAATTTGGCAACTTCAGGTGGTACCAGTGGTTGTTCAAATGCAAAGGAATGAATGACCATAGAGCTCCAGACAGAAAGAACTGGAGAGAGCTGGATGAGCAGTGAGGCAGCACTGCCTCTGCTCAGCATCACAAGGATGGCAGCTCAAACCCAGGGTCTGCTCTGCAACTTCCTCAGGTATTTGAGTAAGACCTGGAAGGGGAATCCTAGGTGCTGAAAGAACCTGTCTGTAGCTCCTCTGTAGTTAAATTTAACAGGTACAGACAATAGTTTTGTAAAGAAAGATGAAGTTTAAAACTGACGCAACTGGCAGTTGCTCAAAATACCATAGTGCTCAATTCCTTTTTCTCAGTGCCTAAATATCTGCCTCAGACATGATCAGACAGATATCTATCACCTTGTTCACTTGTTTCCAGATGTGCATCTTTGCTCATCAAGCACAGTCCACTTTTTCAGGCTAACATTTTAGTCAATCTCTTCCATAAGATAAGCAACTAAAACATTACAACCAACTGAAAAATTCCTATATCCCAACTTTAATTTGCTTAGAGACCTCCATCTAATTGCCAATCAAGATATATTAATGAATAATTTGCATTTACTTGTGCCAACATTACTCTTATATCTGAAATAGCCCATGCTCATCCTCTTTAGCTCATGTCTCTCCTTTCACTTTCTTCCCAGGCACCAATTCCATTTTCTTCTTGTCCCTTGCTTTGCCTGAGGTATCAGTCCCAGGACTGGAGAGGCTGCCCATGTCCTCTATGTCCTCTTTCTACTTCTTCTGGTTGGAGCCCATCACATCAAATTTGGCTGACCAGAATTCTAATTCAGGATTTCAGATGAAGTTATATGGGGGTCTTGTATAATGGCATTAACAATCCCTCTCTCTCCCAGGTATTTCTTATCCAAGAGAGCTGACAACTATTTTTTCCCCCCTTCACAGCTCTGTTGTTGTTGGCTCACAGTCATTCCGTGCTTGATTAATGAACATAGGCTTCCTTCTTACATAATTTTCTAACTACTCTAGTTTATAGCAGAAAAATCTCATTAGTTCCTTAAATGCAGGACTTTGCACGTTCTGACATTTAACTGCATCCAAAACCTATTATTGTTAAGATCACCCAGTCACATAAGCCTGATCTGTAACTCCCTTCCTGCTGATGTCTCCCAGGTTTGTTATCAGTGAAGTTTATTATAGTATTTGTGTATTACCAAAATGATTCAATGAAAGTGAGATCAGGGCCAAGAACAGCTTTTCATTTACCTTCACTAATGACATTCAAAGGCCCTTTCAAAATAACTCACTGTTGTTCTCTGTCACTTTCCAGCTCCTTCTCCTACCCTAAATTTAATCTCTTAACAAATACTGCCTATATGTTTTAAGATCGAATGCTCTCCTTGAACCCAGAAGAATTTTTCTTTTGCCTCCTGTATTGTTCTAGCATCACCTTTCTCCAGGGCTCCCCCAGTGCAGTTTGCCTCAACTGCTGAACTTTCCAGAATTTCTTCAATTATTTTTCTGAATAATTTCTAACCCATAGGATGGGGTCAGGGAAGAGCATCAGGACTTTCCTCAGTTTCCTCATATCTTTCTCACTACAAGTAGTCTATCTGCTGTTTTCCAGTCATAGAGGAAATGGCAATTAACAGATCTCTTTAGGATTCTTGCGACCAAACTTTGGGTTCTGTATTTTTCCCCCCCTTTTTTTTTTAACAGGAACCCTGTGAAGAACAATATTCAGCCTCCCTTATGCAAGTTCCTCGAGCTGCTCCCAATGAAGTAATCTCCACTTTCTCCTCTGGCTGGTGAGATCTGAATCTCCACCCCGCCTCCTGGCCCTTCTTTCAGGGCAGAAGGGATCTTGGCAGAGGATGCCACTGACCTCCACGGAAGCTGCTTCCTTTGCCAGGACAGCTGGAATGCTTGAGCAGGGACCCTGCCTCCTGCTTCCAATTAGCAAGCTGTCAACAGTGGGGACTGTGTCACTCCTCACTGATGAAATTAAGCATTGAAACCAGAGCAACCTGAAAAGCCCACGGGGCTCAGGCACTTGTAGTCTTGTGTCATGGAATACATCAATTCAGATCTAATTCAAGGATTTTAAACACTTGAATTGGGATTTCCTTGGCCAAGTGCTTTACTCAGAGGTTGCTTGTAAAAAAGGGTTGAGTGGGTCTCTGAACAGCAGGGCAGACTGTCATGACTGCAAATCCCAAATGAAGCAAAACTTATCAGCCTAGACTTGTTGCCTCACTCTCTGAGGCAGGGCTTAAGCTACACTGAGAAGCAAGTCTTTCTCCTAGCTGGTTTCATCAGTCCCCAGGCTGGCATGCTACCTGATGCAGCTTCCACCTGAAATGCCAAGCTTCCACCCATGCTTTTCAACAAGCACAAAAGTCTAAAACAAGCCTGTAAATTCCCTACAGCTGACCTTTTAGTAGGTGTGCTCCAAACACACCACAGAAGTTTTATCTGCACAACGCTATATATGATAGTTATTGAATCTGATAAATTTAACAGAGTTCTACAGTGCATACACAGGTCATGGACCACACTGCTTCAAAGCCTCTATTCTTCTTTTATCTTATGGTATCCAGACCAAAACATGTCAAGTTTTAGTGCAGTTTTGTAATTAATGCTTTCTGTCAAAACTTAGCTGGAATGTTCTAGGACAGCAGTTTTTGCCATTTGGAAAGCATTACCTCCAAAAATAGGAAGGTACCATATTTGTTTTTTCATTCTTCCTGCTCTACTTTACAACTGCAAACTGACATCTCACACTGTACAAAAACAGGAAATTAATTGTTCCTGGCATCCTTGAAATCAGTCTTACACTTGTTGACTCTTCAAGCAGAGCTTGTACTTATTCAATAAAAACAAAGCTGAAATGAAGACTGGGAGGGATTCAGCTGACTGGATGGGAATTTTTACAATGCAGGAAACCCCATCTGAGTACATCACCTAGGGTTCTCCTTATGGTCCTGATGTAGGGCAGTAGGATACACAGATCAACTCTTCTCAACCTGAAGTATGCACCTATGTGTGGCCAAAATCCACCAGCTGTGGCGGGCACATAAACAAACAAACAATGAGCTCAGAAGAATGCATCTCAGTTTAAATAAAGAAAATGCCTTTGACTGCACCGAAAACCTTTCAGCCCATTAAAAGCCACACACTGTGCTGTGACATTCTTTACACATTAGTGAGATGAGTGTAATCCCTGGGGCTCCCAGCACTGGTGTTACCTGGTAAGCATGGTCCGTGTGTACGAGGTAGAGGTTGGTAGGAGCTGAGCGGCTCAGAGGTGTCATCACTTTAGTCTCGGTTTTGGCACAGGAAGTTTCAGGACGGATTGCGTCTTGGGTGGGAAAGGAAGGAGGAGATGCTAGAGATGGAGACACTGGGGAAAGACTGCTTAAGCCATCAGCTACTGAGTCCGTGTTGAGCCTGATTTCTGTATAGTAAAAATCCTCCTCTCCATCACTGTAGTCAGACTCTCCTACACGTCTGTATCGAGAGAAAGAAGTAAGAATTGATTGAAAGCAAGAACCCCAAGGTAAATTTTAAGTTCTAGATGTGTGAATGAATATATTCATATTGTCAATAAATTAACATTTGCAGTTTCAACCCTTCCTACTTTATCTGCATTCTGACTGAAGATAAGGGGAAGAGGAAAATCATCTAGTCCAAAGGGAAATGAAGTAGGAATTACTCTTTTCCCCTCTTTGTGTTATTCTTGACCAATTCTTTCACCTTGGAGTAGATGTTTGACTCCCTGAGATCAAGTATCAGCTTCTCATTTGTAACTATTGTAAAGTTAACAAGAATCTCAATGCACTCTGTCTTTGAAAGTCACAGCAAAGATAACAGACACAGGCAAGATACACTTCACTCATGTTCCAGCAAACAATATGTAATCTTATCAGAAGTTACTTAATTATATCAAATATACTTACAGCTGCCATTCACTGTAACTTCCTGTAACATAAGAGAAGAATTTGCTAGAAAACAGTCTCACCATGCAACTCACAGAGAAAGCACTCATATGGGCTGCTAGCCACAGCCACGACTTTCTGGTCCTCCTCTCCAGAGGCAGACTTATTGAAGGACAGCATGTAAGACATTTAATCGCCTAAAGTTTCATCTGATGTGCATTTGAGCACGAGTGCTAGCAGTGAACAACCCAGTCAAAGCAGTAGCTCCCAGCAGACTACACATTATCTTGAAGTCCAGACCAGAATGTGCTGAGAGAACACACGTCCAGCAGGTCTGAAAGGCTCTATCAGAGGCATCATCCATCAGAATGCAGCCAATCACTCACCAAAACTACTCTTTCCAGAAAAGTTTCTAGCTCCAGTAAATTCCAGAAAGGTTTTGCTGTTTGTTTCTGCCTCTCCCACACCACAAAGAGGATGTCCCCATAATATAAAGCACAAATTAGCATTCCTCACTGCATTTTGAGAGAGATTTTCTGTTTCCCACAGCCTTACTCTTAAGCCCAATGGTAATTGTTGACCTCTTCAAGACCATCCTGAGCTCCAGATCTTTCTTGTGGTGGCTTTAATTTTTAAGCTGTGGGTAACACAGATCTACAGAACAGAGATGTATTTTCATCTAACAGGTGAAGACCATGAGTCCCAACTGTAATTATAAATGAGGCAGGTACATCACTCAGTGAATTACTTGGGAGAGTTCAGCTGCAAATTACAGCTCTGAAATAAACTTGTCTCCTAAAAGATCAATTTGCTTTTGCTTCTAGTCCAAGTAACATACATGTGTGTCCTGGTTTTGTCTAGCCTGGAGTTTACTTTCTTCCAAGTAGCTGGCCCAGAGATGTCTTTTGGATCTAAGATGAGAAGATTGTTGATACCACACTGATGTTTTAGTTGATGCTGAGCAGTGCTTACTCTAAATCAAGAACTTTTCTGTTTCCCATGCTCTAGCAGTGAGCAGGGGCATCAGAGGCTAGGAGGAAGCATGGCCAGGACAAAGGGATATTCCATACCATAGGATGTCATGTCCAGTAAATACACTGGAGGGAGCTAGCTGGGAGGTGCTGATCACTGCTTGGGGACAGGCTGGGCATGGGTCAGCAGATGGTGAGAAACTGTAATCACTGTAAACTGTGCATCACTCATTTATCTTCAGTTTTGTTTCTCTGTCTCTCCCCTTTCCTTAGAAGTATTAGAGTCAATAGTATAACTGTTACTATTATCATCAGTGTTTTATTTTGTTTAAGCCATTAAACTGTTCTTGTCTCAACCCATGAGATTTACTCTTTATTCCTTTGATTCTTCCAGGGAAGGAAGGGGATAGTGAGTGAACAGCTTTGTGGTACTTTAAACCATGACAACATGCAGCTCAATTTCCTTTTATTTTCAGGTTTCTTATGTGGTTTGTGGTTTTGGTGTGGCTTTTGGCATTAATTCAATTCAGAACTGGCACAAGCACCTGACCTGATGTGAAACACAGCTGAAAAGTATTCATGCAATACCCTGAACGTGTCTACTGCAGAGTGTCATCCCAGACATGATGTGCAACACAGCACATATGATGTAATGGTACTGAGCTGTGCAGCTGACAGGGAAGGGCAGTGCAACCTCGAGCTCCATTTGACCTTCTAGGAAAGCTGACAGAATTTCAGAAAAGAAAGTGCCTTGCTGTTGGAATAAGTGCTCATTCACCTTGATGCACTATTCCACAATTTCCTCAGAAACACAGGGATATGAGACAGAGAAGCCAAGGGCAATCTAGTCCCCTAGTTCATCTGTCCAGCCAAGGGCAATTGCTCCACTTTTATACCAAATCCTTTAGACCCAAAAAGACTCTTCTCTTACCCAAGGTGAATGGTCCTTATGTGTTTCTGAATCCCTGCAGCTGTGCTCAGTACCTTCCCACAGTTCTTCCATAGGCATTTGAACATCACCTTCATGGAGTTCTGAAAATTATGGGTAAAGCAGCATTAGTTGTATGGAAGTTGTAGGGATATTAGGAAAAATTTCTTCCCTGAAAGGGTTGTCAAGCACTGCAACAGGCTGCCCAGAGAAATGGCTGAGTCACCAGCCCTGGAGGTATTTAAAGGACCTGTAGATGTGCTGCCTGGGGACATGGTTTAGTGCTGGACTTGGCAGTGCTGGGTTCAGGGCTGAAAATTTCTGTGACTCTGTAATTCTGGGAAGGTAGAAAAAACCCCAAACTACCCAAACCAGATAAACAGTTACAAAACCCTGTAAAGACTCAGAGCCTTTGACTCCAAATTCATAATGACCTAATAGTCTCTTATCAAATGTGTCACCCTACTGAATTCAAGAGAAACCAGTGAAAAGCTGCAGTAGCAGCTTGTGACAAAATTTTACTTCTCTCTGTTTATTGGCAACACTTTTCCATTTTTAAGTTTCAGTTCCTCCACTAAGGGAGGTAAATGATGTAAAAACTTCCTATACTTCTTTCAAAAACACCCTGATGAGGATTTCTCAATTAATCCAAGACACCTTCTTAAATTAAGGTCTTTCCAAAGCAAGCTCTTGTAAATGTTTCTGCTCATGATATTTGCAGCACACAAAAATACTGTGCCAGAAAAATATAGCTTCTGTTACGCCCATATTCGCCATGAGCTGGCACAACCTGTTTTTGTTTCACTCAGAAGCTGCTGTGGACTTTACTCAGACAAGAGAATGAGAAGTTATCAGTCCGTGTTCAATATTTTAAAAATACAGGTATAATCTCATTTAAATATTCTTTTTATATTCTTTAATATAACTTAATTGATCTCCACTGAGTTATCACTGATTTAGAGCACACCCAACAAGGCTATCACTAGGCCAATCTTCAACATTTTGAAGACTCAGGAGAAAAGCAGACTTAAAACAACACAGCTGTTACAAACCCTAGAGATATTTAAAAGCTATTTTTACCTCAAAAATCAAAATTACAATTCTATAATTTCTGTTACATATAAGATTAAATTAATATATTAATATAAAACTCAATTTAAAAAAAGGGGGAGAACAAGCACATCCTTAGGCACATTTCACTGTGCCTTGAACAAAAGCTGACTTGGTGCTTCCTTCAATTTGGACCCTTTGGAACTGCATGCCAGTAGATGGTTTCAGCATTTGTTAGAAAGATGATGATTAGAATATAACTTAAAAAATAATCTCAGTGGACAGGCTTTTCAAAATACAAGTTGATTGTAGCAGCATGTTCTCACAGTTCCCTGCAGTCTAACATCTCCTGTTTTAAAGTATGAATGCTTAAGGCTTTGAGATTTGGGGTACCTGATCATACTGGTTGTAATAAAAACTTCTGTTTGGAATAAATTGCACATAAATTGCCCATTTTTTATTTGATAATACAACTATCAGTCAAACAGAGAGAAAACTCTTTCTTTTCTCAAATTAAATATAATCTATCTAGCAATTCTGATTCATACTTTTCTTATTTCCATAATACAATACTAAATACTATTATCAGCTCAAAACCACACAACCAAATATGTCAAAAAGATGAAGGCCATGTTTATAACTGATATCCTAGGAATTCCAATATGACATCATAAACACCACACACATCTTTATGAGCACAGAATGGTTTAACATCCACCCCCAGTTTGATGGTAAAATCTGTGTTTTTTTGATTTATTGTCACTGGTAGGAGTTTGCAAAAACCCACATGCTTGTAACATAATCAAGTGAAAGCTCACTTGGTGGAAATAAAGAATATGCTTACATTTCTTCCATTTCCTTTCCAAAAATTACCTATTCAGGTTTAATGTTTTATTTAAGAAAATAATGGAACATAAATGGTTTGGTGAGGAATAACTACCTTAGAGGAAACTTTTAAGCAAATAATAAAGTTACCAATCACTCTATTTCCAGGTTTACTCCTTCTGACTTTTGCAGCCTGAAGAAGAAATAACCTGAACATTTTTGTTTCAGCTTCTAAAGGTGGTAACCTGTACTCAGATCAAGTACCACGCTGGAACCAGAATAAAGAAAAAACCTGCAGGAAGGCAAGTTCATTTATAAAACCAAGTTTGGCATGGAATGTTACTGTTTATCTAAATAAAACATTTGCCAAATAAAGCCAGATCCTTGTGAACAGAATAGATAGTGTACTAGACCTATGGTGAGTACATAAATAGAAGTATTTGAAAGCAACTTAGCAAACAATAAAGATGGCAGCTGCAAACCCATCTGTCTCATCACAGCTGAGCAGTAAGAGTGGGGTTAATAAGATGAAGGTTAACTGAGAAGTAAAAGGCAAACCAGGACATTTTTGCACTCCTACTCCTCCTGCCCCACACCCCCTCAAACTGTCTCTCTGTTTAGTGCAACACTCAGCTCCAACTTCTAATTTATTATAACAAAGGTGTCCTCCAAAATATATTTTTTTCTTCTTAGTAAGATGCACAAACATTTTCACCCCTTTCCCATGAACAAGGGAACAATTGCATGGGTCAGCAAATAAGCAGCTTCTGGAGCAAGAGGATAATCTGAACAGGTTTAAACAATCATTAAAACTTCTTCCTGCTGGTGATGAAGCAATTAACTGTCTCAGACTGAGGCAGAAACAAATTCACTAAGGCAAAAAATTCTCTGTTTTTTCTCCTTAAAAAAAGCCCTATTAGATCTTGCTATGTAAAATCTATCCTGTTGTGTTGGGAGGGAAGGAAACTTGGACTAGTGCCATCTCTTTGTTTTCTTTTTCTTCCAGAGAAGCTTGCTGGCTAGCAATGGTGCTTTTTTGGGGTAAGTTTTGGACCTGTTTTTTAATGTCATGTTTTATTTAGCTTGCTTTTGCACTCCAACTGAGGATAAATTTGGCTAATGCTAATACTATATCAAAAGCCATCGGGTTTGAGCTCTCTCTCTCCATTTTCACTCCATATGTTTGTGCAGAGAAACCTTCACAATATTAAGGTATCTGACATGCTGTCAGACAAACAGCACTTTCAGGGAACAAGGAGTATTAAGGTCATAGTCAGTTTTTGTGATGACATGTAAAGGCTGCCTGTTGCATCCTGAACACAGAGAATTTGTCAAAGTAGGACAGAAAACCCTTGAATGGCCAGAGGCAACACCTTCTGGAAATCCCTCTAGTGTTTTCTGAGCAGGAGGCTCTGTAGCACCTTACCATCTGGCAGGAAATATGTGGTGCTGATGGCAGCATGTATGTGCAGGAGGTGACCACGCTGAATGAGACGCAGTGACTACATGAAGTCCCCATGTTAAATGCATGCCAAGGGAGGATACACAAGCAGAGCTATTTGGATGACCTGCTCCTCTCTCACAACAAAATAAGCCTACCAACATCCTATCTAAGCATGGATGTGCAATTTAACATAAGGCTAACCTTTCTCTTCCTAGGAATGGGTTCATCAAAGAGAAGGTTGCTTGTTTCCCCTTCATCGATACCATCATCTGCCTGGGAAGGCGTCCGAAAAGCTTTGAAGCTGTCAGCTGACAGAGGTGGAGATGGGGTGGATGGGTTGGACTGGTCACTGGGAGCATTCCAGCTCCAGTATCCACTGCTGCTGGTGCTAGAAGGCACAAATCCTCCTTCTTTCCAAGATCCATTCAGGGATTCTGTCAAGAACAACAAAAGATATTATTACAACAGTATCATTGTGAGAGGGCTAAGGAGCTCTTTTTTCTAAGGTTTAGATGCCATGTTGGTAATTAAATGCAAAATCAGTAAAGGAATGTGAAAGCACTGGATGTAGAGAGGACAACCATATCTAACCCACTGCACATAAATTACATATTCCACATTTGATTTTTATTTTATTTAAAACAAAAAAACAAAAGCAGCAAAGTATTTTTCTAAAAAGAAATGTTGCATTTGAAAAAATAACCTGTTCTGAAGCATAAACAGTGATAAACCATCATATATTGCATGCATGATTTAAGGAAAACATTTAAATTGACCTTTAAATTGACTTCTGTGATTCTAAATACATCCTCAACTTTCAACAGGAACACACAACTCTGGTGTCCAAAGCAAGCTCCAAGCCACCACACTGCCAACAGGAGATCCCCTGAGAAGGGGACACACACTCTGAGCCCCAAAACACTAAGCAGATCCACAAAAACATGACCATCTTCCCAGTACTAAAACACCAAAGAAAACCATAGTTACACTCTGTTCTTACAATCTCTCAATACATCTGCCTCTGCCTAATTTGAACTTCCACATGAGGTGGGGTGTGTATCCCTTGGGATACACGGGTGTGCAGAAGTGAACACACAGACACTGGATCACCTCCACACCCACTGCAGGAACTGCCTAATCAGTGCTGCAGCTCCCCATCCATTACAGGCTAAGAAGACACTGGAACTAACAGCTAACACTGCAGCACCATGGGGGGAGCAGCAGCACTGGAACTAACAGCTAACACTGCAGCCCCATGGTGGGAGCACCAGCACTGGAACTAACAGCTAACCCTCTGCAGCACCATGGGGGGAGCAGCAGCACTGCCTGTGCAGCCTGAGGCACAGCTCGAGCCATGCTTCATTCACATGCACAGATCCTCAGGCTTTAGATGCTGGCATGTCACCCTCGCTGTCCCTAAAGGGCTGCTGGCAGCAGAGAAGCATGCAGGCCATCAGCTCAGTGCAGGCATGGCCCAAGCACACCCAGGGTGCAGCCACAGGCAGCTCTGCCAGAGCCCTCAGGTTCTCACAGGACTTGGGCAAATGAGCAGGGACTGTTTAGGAGCAGCTTCTCCCTAACTCAGGCATTGGAAGCTTTTCCCAATGACACTGTGGGTGCCTGAGCATTGTGCAACACCTGACTTTGGAACTGGCAAGCAAATAACATCTTATCTGTTCATGAAGCAGTATTTAAGTGTGAGACAAGTCCTTTCAAGCCAGTGCCTGTCTTTTAAAGATCTGCAGAAGTCACTCCTTCATTCCTTCTCAATTTCTTACAGATAAATTTAACTAATAATATTGGCAAGAAAGTGAGCTATCAAAAGCTTACCCCCCAACCAGTGAATTTTTGTTTTTTCTTTCTCCTAACTGACTTGGTTTTGGACAAAATCCTTAATGACTAACATCAGCTGCTCAAAAAAACAGAACACAGTGCCCCCTTGAGTAGGCAGCTGCTACAGTAGTACTGATTTACTGATCAGGACCACACAGCATAAATGGAATTGATCCTCTCCCTCCAGCCTGCCCAATTCCTCTTTGGAAAAGGACAAACATACATGTTCTGGCAGCTCTGAAGCTAACATGAAAATGTCATGTTTTGTCTCATGATTACAACCTTCATGTGACTGTAATGAAGGTAGGTTTTGTTCCTTTTATATATTTGGTACTTCAGTCTTGTGCCAAATCCAAAAATTGCATCTGGTATCAACTTGTGACCTTAGCATAGCTTACAATTTTCATGTCTTCAGAAAAACAAAGGAACACTCTTTCAACTACTATTTTCTGAAACAGTTATGCTGCTATTTGTATTCTCAGTGTGTACAGTTTCTCCTAACCTTGCTGAGAAAGAGATGTAAATCAAGAGCATTTTTTAAGTAGCATGGAAAATACTGAATGAGGTTAACAACAGGAAGAAACCAAACACTGGTTCTCATTCATACTAACAAATCTGTTAATGTAAAGAAGTTTAATATATAAATAAATGCAACTTACTCTTATTTTGGGGCTCTTTTCACACTGCTGGAGTTGCGTGAAAGAGAACCAGACCAAATATTATTCAACTGCAGAGAAACAAGGGCCAAACTCTGATCCAGTTTACATGGGTGATCATTCCCATGAATTCCAGCATGGATCTGACTTTAATATTAATGCTAATGTAATTTTATTTTTTACTTCTAGGCAAAATTCCATTTGTTTTAACAAATGGTCCTTTAATTATCCTGCTACTTATTGCCCTTTTTTGGAAAAGCGTGTAGAAAAAACTAATCACTAATACATTTGTTGCTTGTATTACTAGGATCAGAGCCCAGCCTTGCAACACCAAATAAGCTTTAAATTATCCAGTCTTTATACTTCTACTCAAGTCTTTAGTAAGCCTTGACTAAGGCAAAACTAAGATATTCAGGGAGAAGGTGCCCAAAACCAGCTTCAAAATCTTGTCTATAACTATTGAAAACATGTGAACTACATTTTCAGGCTAGTCTTCCCAGATTTTGGGAAACAAGCAGACAAGCTAAATGAAGAAATATCAAAGAGCACTCAGACTATGCTGAGAAATATCAAAGGCAGTTAAACAGCCACCATTTGCTATTAGTAATTCAAAAGGGCTTGTTTGGAAGATCTTGCCAATCGACAGCTGCACTGCTGCTCCTGACAAGTGTCACCTGCTCAGCCTAAGGTGGCAGATACTGCTTCACCCACAGCAGAGCAGCTCCCCAGGACAGGGATGCAGCAGGGCACATGTGTATGCCTTGGCCACACCAAATCCCTGCTTGCCACATCAAGCACAGATCCATCTCCAGCTGTGGTTTTGTCTGTGAGCTGAGCAGCTGGAGAGCAGGTGTGCTTTCACCCTTCTGCTGGCCTTTCCCAGGGGCTGGCAACATCCTGTCCTCAGGTGTGACTGTCATAGGGATGTCACTGCCTGAGATTTCCCAGGGCTCCTCAGAGCAGTGGCACTCCAATAAGCACTTCTGGCTTTCAACACTGGAAAGCACATGAACAAAGGCCATGGGTGTTCACAGCCAGAATTCCAACTAAATGGATAAAACTTACATTTTCTGAAAACAAATGGAAAAAACACAGCACTGACATTGGCTATGAATTCCTTTAAGAACATCATACTGTGGATCATGCCTGTTTCCATGAAGAAAAGCAAGTACTTCTCAATCTTCCAATGACTGACAGTAGGAGAGCATCTAGGGTTTTTTAGCAGTTACAAGGGAGTAAGAAAAGTCAGTCATACAAACAATGCTGAGGTACCTCAACAAGGTTATCCTAATTCAAATAATTCCTTAAAATAAAACACTCCTAAAAATTTATTGTAACTCCAGTCAATCTTGCATAGATCAATTATATTTCATAATCGATCTCCTCATTACCTGAAACTTTTTACATTTTTTTAAAATTGGGTGTCTTCTGCTATAGAATGAATGAAATAGTCTTTACAGGGATTATAGATTTGATGGAAGACCATCAGAGAGTTACACACAGCACAGGAACTGGAGGTGCAGAGAAGCAGACTGCTTGCTGTGCAGATTGCTACTGCACAGCCTCTCAGCCAAGAGCTGTGATCTGGAAGTTCTTTGCCTTATTGTGGCTTTGGCTAAAATCTGATCTCATTTCCATTGAGTAGATGACAAGAAGAACTGCTCTCATGTTTCCTGGATATGGCACTCAGGACATGGTTTAGAAGGGAACATGGTGGTGGTGCCAGGTTGATGGTTAGACTTAGTGATCTTAGAGGTCTTTCCCAATTCTAACCATTCTACAACTCGAGGACTGTATGTGTGCAAATGCAAACAAACTCTTTGAAAAATTAAGTGTTTCAGAGACATCAAGAGACTTTTTGAAGTGCTCATATCCCATTTATGGAATGGGCATCTCCCATTTCATAAACCAGAGCTGCTCTACAGTTAAAGAAAATGCTTCTTTTCATTTCTGCCAGTGCTGCACCAGACTTTGACTAGGTTGGAGCAAAGCTCAGTATGATCCCCAACATAGCAGAAGACAGCCACTCACCATTTGTTCTCCCCCATGGGCACAGCTCCTGGGAACAAGCGCCCCCTTCCCACAGCCCCGGGCTCCAAAGGCTTACCGTTGGGTCGGACAGGAGGGCTGCGGACCAAAGGGCTGGTGGATAAACTGGTGAGTACCATAGCTGCTGTTACTTTATCCATGTCCAGTTCTTCCAAAGATTTCCTGAAACACAGTGAGTGGGAGGCAGGAAACACATCAACAAAAATTTAGCTCTTTTTTAGTATCTTTTCACTTAGCCCAAATCCTAAGCCAGCACAGCACAGTAACAAAAACAAGCCACTGCACAGAGTTCTCCAAACCTTGGTTTTCTGGCAACCTGAGCATATCAAGAGGCTTCTATAAGCAAACTAACTCAGTGTTAGCAGGAAAAGAAGTAGGAAAAGAGAATACATCTTTGTATAAAATTTTCAGGATTACTGTGACTCTCTATGACTTTGACTTTGTTCCTTTTTTATATTTCAGAATTTCAGCTATTCATATTCTTAGAGCAAAGTGTGTTCTTAAGGTGGTTTTCTTGGATGAAGACAGAAATGCAAAATTGGGTGAGATTACTAGCAACAATATCAACATACATTAGTCTCTGTAGTGTAAAGAAGAACTGTGAACTGGAACTAAGGGATGTGAGTTCATTGCTTCTGCTTAACTATTAACATTCCCATACTCTCTGCAAAAGATTGATCCTAAATTTTTCCTGGTCAGATTAAAACCCAAATATTTTAAGTAATTAGGAAACTGGCATAAAAATGGTGCAGGAAGGGTAGGGGGGTAGGGGAGAGAAAGGGAGAGGAGGTTGTTTTGCAGGTGTGATGGGCGCCTGAACCAGCATGATGGCACAGGGGCCCACTGCTGCCTCAGCCTGGTCTCAATGGGAACCTGTGTAAGTTAGAGGAGAGGACATGGAGAAGGAGTAATAAGGGAAAGGAGAGCAGCCAGCTTTTCAGGGAAAGGAAGAGAAGATTTGGACAATGGTAAATGCCACCAGGAACCAGGATACAGTGATCCATTGCTCAAGGAGTCATGGGGGATTTTTTAGGCAAGGAAGGAAATTTTTCTTTGTCTGTAAAAATTATGTTCTGTCTTTTTTACCCCAGAGTAACTCTCTCACAATGTAAAATTTCTTAGAAGTCAATGCACCAAAATAAAACTACCAAACCCACTATATTAGCAGACTTTTGCTTTCCACCCTTGTGGGCTGGAAATCCTTGTGGGATTTCCACCTTGTGGGTGGGATCAAAACAGACAATTTTTTGAAAATGTTTGCTTTCAAACATATGACTGATCATCCAAAATCATCTTCTCAATTCCTAGAGATCAAGTTAATTTTTTTCTAACAAAAGGACACTTCCCCCCACCCCATATTCTGCTTTCTGGGTCTCTGCTTTCTGTGCCTTGTCAGGAGCTCTACTGAGCAGATCAGGCTGAGTCTGATTTAAAGCCCGAGATAATAAGTGGTCAGTACCTGCTGTTTCCCATCAACTGTTGGTCAGTAAGTCACCAAGAGGAACAGGATGTGCTGGGTGCACTCCCTTTTCTGGAATCCTATCTCACCCATCAGGTGGAAGGTTCATTAACTGGAAACTACACTACAGTGAAAGGCTCTTGGTATTTTAGTGAGCAAACCTTGACCTTGCCCATGAAAAGGTTCACAGCTGCTTTCTGGCTGATGCAAGGACCCACACAGATGCTGATGAACACTCTCCCACGCCACACAACAGCTTAACTTTCACAACTGTCTTTTGCAACACATCAGTGCCTGGAGCTGAAACACTGATGATGGTTCCTGCTGCATTCTGATTATATCTGTAGAAACCCCTCTTTCCTCCAGCCAAGGCTTCTGCAAAGAGCACAGCAGCCATATGGTCATCATCAAGTATTGGAAAGGTCTTGGAATGTCTGCTATAATCAGCTGAATTCTTAATCTGTCACCCATTAGCTCCTCGTGCCTGCAGAGGAGTGTTTCACTCAGAATGCCAAATTCCTCTGGGCTCAGAAGACCCTTCCTCAGGGCTGACATGGAGATGCTACACTTTCTCAAGACCAACACTGCCAGATGATTTTCCAGTTACCTAATATTCCAGTATGAAAATCTAGTTTCTGAGAAGGCTTCACCTGCTCTGTAGCCCATTCCTGCCAGACTACACCAACTGTCCCTGTGACTATCCAGCTGTGAATGAATCATTACTATCTGCATTTCTGCAACATATGAGGACAAAATGAGCAAAAGTTCCTGATAAGATGGAGAAGCTGATCCCTGTTTGTAATCAGCTCTTCTGTAAAAAGCTCTTGTGTCTGTGTGGCAACAGGACTAACATGTTCCCATCCAGGCCTCTCCAGGATTGCAACATCTCACTACAGCAGTTGTTGCAAGTGTCTGCCAAGTTGGTGTTAAGATGTCAGAGTCTAGACTCAGAGCTAATCACAAAGTTTCCCCAAGCAGTTTATAACTACCTTCTAGTTATTTTGATTTTTTTTGTCCCCTCTACAATGATAAGCACTGCTGTTCTGAAAATCTAGCCCTAGCTCCAAATAATTTTACAATGTCCCAAAATTGTCAGCACTGGCATCTGTACTTAAAGTGGAAGTTTTCACAAGCAGGCAAAGAATAGGAATAATCATAAGAATCCATGCCATTTCCAGCCATGCTAAACTACACTCTTGCAATTACTGGAATGCTTTTTTCTTCCTGATCCAATTTACCAGGATATCAGCCCAAATAAAATGAACTTTGGGCTTTCTCTTTGCCCATTCTGAATGACAGTCATTTTTACTATTTATTACTCCTCAACTGCATCCAGCAAGCAAGAACACTCTGCTCATACTTCCCAGCCACAAGAATTTTAGCAGCTACAAGTGTTGGCTTATGTGACTCTGTTCCATTTTTACAGTTCGGCTCATAAATGTAAACACACATATTTCATATATCATTCAGCCAGTACTGCAGCAGCAGCCTTTGAGATACAGGCAAGGCATAAAACTGAAGACAGCAACCACTAAAGCCATCTGCATTTAGTCAGCATCACATGTGAGTTCACGCCTTAAGATTTCCCCAATATTTTCCAGCTTTCTCTAGTGGAAAGTTGAACCTGCACACAGCTGTTCAACACTATTTGGACTCAGAGGGGAGAATAACTTGTTACGCATCAATTGTTCCCAAAACATTTATCTCACCATTGCTAAGGCAATTTTCTGCGCACTGAAATCATAAGCCCTGATGTTACTGTTATTAGGTGCAATAAAATTTAAATCAGTTTTAAGATCATGTACTATGTCAATTATGAAGACTTCTTCTTTTCTCTAACCTCACATCCCAGTCTCCAAATTCCATCTCCCAACTTTTGGATGGATGCATTTGTGTCAGCCCAGTCTGCGTTTGAGAACCAAGCAGTTTTGGATCCTTTCCTTCCAAGTGTTTGTAAATCCAAACACATGAAATAGCCGAATTACAACGAATCAGCTGAGATATTAGCAGTAGAAGTTACAGGTCCTTGAAGGCAGGCCTTTTACCACCACCCCAGGTGTCTGTTTCATGTCTCCCTGCTTCCTCAGCAGGGGGAGTGGTTTCACCGGATCCCTGCAATACACTGATCTAGCCAGCCTGGCAATTAAGGGTCCTTTTCTTTAACAGCCAAGGCCAATCAGACTTGGTTACTACACTTACTCTTGACCACTTCTTTCTTTGATTTTGATGATGAATTGATTGCTTTTTTGATAATAGTTTATCAATCAAACCACCCATCACGGTTTTCCCAGTCAAAGCTATCTACAAGGAAAGGCTGGGTTTCAGCTCCAAGGGATGAAAAAAGAGGGTCCCAGACAAGCCCGAGGCTATGCAAATGTTCCAAACCAATGCAGTGTCCAATCTCCTGCTGTCCCATTTCTTCTGCCAGCTCCTGGCCACTGTTATCTTCAGACTCCCTCCTATGTACTATTCCCATCTGGACACACCTATATGACAGTTCTATTTTTTTTCTATTCTTCAGGCTTGCTATCAAAGAAATCTTTAGAAATACAAATTTTATTCTAGTTTTTCAGTCTTTACACTACTCTTTATTACTTGCCCGGCTTAGATCAAAAAGCCTGAAGATTTCCCCTTGGAAAGACTGCATTTTAAGTCTAATGCTTTTACCTAAGCATATTTTAAGGGTACTGGAGAATATTCTCAGAGCAGAGAAAGTGGTAGCAGGTGCTTTTGATAAAATTGACCCTATTGAAGAGCACAACCAAGTTTACTTGAAGAAAAGAAAAAAAAAATCGTTAACTAGGATTGATAAGAAGAGAAGCAGTCAAGCACAAAAATGCTATTATTCCACGTTAACTGTCTACTGTCCTCCACCCAAAATTCAGCTTATGACAGTGGTTCACAAAACACCCGAAGACCTTTTGTAAGAAGTACCATATAAATATGTGTGCATTAATAAGGTATAACTGGGAAAAAATAAAACTATATTTAAATTGCTCTCTCCCTCCCATACTTACATGTGCTAAATTCTCATAAAGAAACCTCTGAAACCCAAGTCTGGTCACTTGACTACAGCCACACCACACTGATAATGTCATACTGAGCACTGCACCAATACTGATAAACACATTGTTAGAAGCTTTTGACATCAAAAATATGATACATCATATAATGAATCATTGTAATCAGTACACGAGTAATAACAGAAGCACTTCTGAAGTAAAAATCCTGAATTACATTATATAGGTAAAATAAAAATATTTTCATTTTGTTCACTTCATCATTAAAGGCAAAACCCAACATCCCAACAAAGAACCAGCAAGAAAATCCATGTACATGACTGTGACTCCATGTATCTCAAGTAACTACAACCACTCTTCTATAAAGAACTACATTATGCTACAAAATATTCTTAGTCCATACAGGACTTCGCATTTACCATAATACTTGGTTACCATGTAATAACTCAAAATACTGACAGTACAGATAAATTATCTTACTTTTTGCTCTTGTGTATGGTTGCTGATTATGGAGATTAAAAATTACTCACTTGTCAAACACAAACCCACAAATTACAGAAAGAATAATCCATACAAATAGTCCAAGGTCTTCAGCATTCTTTAGTAAAAGCCATAACTTTCACAATAAAGCAAAAAGCAAAGGAAAATATTTCCAAATATTATATAAAATCAGCATAGTACTA